CATTTCCAATCTCTCTATCTGTTCCTGTGTTATAGAGGAAGGACGATTAAAACTACATTTCCCAGACTCCTTTGTAGATACAGTTCTGGGTACATCTTAGATGCAGTCAATGAAATCCACTTATGTTAGATTTGGAAAGTGAAAGGCTTTCTGACAGTCACAGGGGATGACTGAGCATGAGCAGAGGTGAGTATTTGTGGCAGATGTACTCCACATGTCAGTATCTGGTACCATTTTGAGGGTTGTGGGGATGACGCTAATGGTAGTGGCAGTTTCAGTTTTTTGATTTCTGGGTTGTAGAAAGTCAAAGTCAAATCTTGAATGTCAGCCTTTAGGTGCTGCACCTCTACTCTTTCCAGTGATTTTGTAAGTACATAATTCTCCGCATTAAATCCTTTTTTTCTCGTTAATACCTAGAGTGCTAAGGCAGACTGGCTGACTGCTCACCAACCCATTTTCTTTTCTCCTATGTACCCATTACGCTCTGCATTTTCAAGCCTCCCTTGCAGCTAGGTGTGGCCCTGTGCTAATAGATGGTGAGAATGTTGGACACGAGTTTCAGACTAAACCCAAATCAGCCTCTCACATAAGATCCTTCATGTTCCCTTCAAGCTGCTTAATGCAAATGAGCACTGTGACCTTGGAAGCTATATGTGGAGATGGAGGGAACACCAGGTGGAATGAAGTGTCTCATTCTGGATCCCTGAATCAACACATGGATGAGAGTCACCTTGTGAGAGAAGCTGATGCCCATCATGGTAGTACCAGACAAAATCATGAGTGTGCTGCAAAGGGGGAAAAATTGTGCTGGGAATGAGGAAGATGTTCAAATAACCACAACTAAGGACAAAAAGGTGGGAGCAGCAGATACTGACATGAGAGAGGAAACTTGCTGTTGTGCTAAGCCACTGAGATGGTGGGGTATATCTAATATAGCTGTTAGCATCCTCCAGTCAAAGAAGTTGTTTCTGTTCTTACACTGACCCTGACTAATAAGAGCCACCAAGGTGAAAGACAGAGTAAATCACAGACAATACCTATATAAAAGCATCATTGGTCACAATCAAGAACACATGAGTTGGCAGAATCCAACTAAAAAGAGAGGAGATTTGGTAATTAAGTGAAGCAATGGATGTGTTGATGAGTTTAATTGTGGCAATCATCTCACAATGTACACATACATCAAGACAACACATTGTATACTTTGAAAATATACCACTTTTGTTTATAAATTATAGCTCAATAAAGCTGGGGGGGAAAGAGGAGAGTTGTGAGACTTAGAGTCACTATAAATTTCCTAGGCCGAGAGATACAGAAATCAACTTCCTTTGATGGTATATAAACCCTGGCCACTGTCCATCATTTTACCCTATCTTCTGCTACCTCCACATACACTGACCTCCAGCCAAACCACTTGGAAGTCCTCACACATCATTGGTCTTACTTTAATAATCCTAAGTGTAGCTAAGGTCTGAAAAACCATCCTCACAGTGGAGCTCCTGGCTCTAAGAGGTCCAGAGATAGCATCCAAGAAGCCTCCCCCTTGGACAGATTGAATGCCATCTTTCTACACAAAGAACCTTGATTCCAAGGGCTATTCCCCCTGAATGAGTTCCAGGAACAGATGCAGATCTCAGAGACAAGTGGGTGCATCCGAGCTACAGATGTGGGGCCTGGCAAATGAACTGACAACTCAAATAGCATTTCACACCAATGAGCCAGACCAGCTGGTCTGTTCCCTTGGCTAAGAGTATGCCTTAGAAACATGCCTGCCTTTATTTTCTGATGTGTCACAATTTACCTTTTTGTTTTACTGGAATATTCTGGAGCACAGGAAGTTAATCACCCTTCATGGTGTGACATCTGTTCGAGATGGCCAAAGGCTCTGACCCAGAAGGCAGCCACACAGTCACACAGGATGACAGAATGAGGCTTTCTCTTTCAGTAAGTAGTTCACAATCAAGGAGAAAAACACACTCTTAAGGTTAGTGATATAAACAAACCCTAAAAGGTAAATGTATTTTACTAAAAGTGGAGTACAAAATAAGTATCTTTTCTTAAAAACTGATTCAAGTCCAATCTGAAACTTGTGTCCAACATTCTCATTCACAATTGATTAGCAGAGGGCCATACCTAGCTGCAAGGGAGGCTGGGAAATGCAGAGTGTAATGGGTACATAGGAGAAAAGAAAATGTGTCTGTGAGCAGTCAGCCAGTCTGCCTTACCACTCGGGGGATTGCAAGATATTCGTGTTGATGACAGAAAAGCAAGTAGGAAGGCATATGCATTTGTTTTGGTCTTATCCATAGGTTTGATGAAAGCCAGTTTTCATTTTGTTGTCAGTGGCCCAAAAGAAATAGGACACAGGCTCAGTTCTTCTGCTCATTTTGTTGTGTGTTTGGGAGTCAAAGCATAGAAAACATCAACACCTGAGGATCAGTCTTGGAGTTGAGGTCAAAGAGAGGCTGTTCCAAGCTTTGGAACTCTTTCTTGCCAAAATGGCACCTGCTTCAAATAGTTGAAAGAACTATTACAGGGTATTATGTAAACTTCTTTCCTAATTAGCATCATATCTTTTCAACCCAGTGACTACTTCAAACCTAAAATTCAAAATTAGAAACAGAAATAAAAATTCTTTGTTAAGGGCAGATGATGCACCAAACACTTTACTAGATGTTTTATATACTTAATATCATTTAATTCACCCAACAGGATGCTCAGAAGTGGTTTTTTCCCACTTGACAGAAAAAATACATTGAGTCTCAGAAAGTTAAAGCACCTGCCACAAACCATGTCATATGTAGGAGGAGAACCCAGAGTGAAACCCAGGAGTTCCATAACTCCAAATCCTGTGCTCATAACCATGCTATGCATTTGTTCCTATCGGGACTCACCTGGACAGGAAGGTTTGTATCAGGTCAGAGATGGGAGAACAAACCTTGAACAGGGCTGATAACAAAGAAGGCTTCATGCTATGGGGGTGTTGTCAGGCAGGCTTGATCAATGCCTAGAACTAGACCCTTCCCATGGCCACTCCAGACCAGTAGGGAACACTGTAAAGACAGTAGATCACCGCAGCTCTCCACAATTGCCTACTCAATGCCAAGAAAGATGATTTTAAAAAGGCAGGGAACCCCAACAGTACTGTAAATGCCCAGTTATCCCCTAGGATAATTTTCTTTCCTTTTTTTTTAAGACAGTCTCTCTCTGTTATCCTTACCTAGAGTGCAGTAGAATCATCAAATGACTCACTGCAACCTCAAATTCCTGGACTCAAGCAATCGTCCTGCCTCAGCTTTCCAGATACATAGACTACAGGTGTGTGCCACCATGCCTGGCTAATTTTTTCTATTTTTTGTAAAGATGGGATCTCACTCTTGCTCCAGCTAGTCTCAGACTCCTGAACTCAAATGATCCTTCCAACTTAGTGCAAAGATTATAGCCATGAGCCACATGCCCAGCCTCTCTGGGGTAATTTATAACCCACTAGTTCTCTTCATTGAAGAAGTCAAACTCAGAAAGCTATACACTATATACATACATATATACACATATATATTGTGTACATATATATATATATATATACATATATACACACACACAATTCCATGTCCATGACATTCTAGAAAAAGCAAAAATATTTAATATATGTATGGAAAACAAATTGGTAGTGGCACGAGGCTGGAGGGTGGGGGTAGATTTTGACTACAAAAGGGTACAAGAGTACTTTTTAGGGATGATGAAATGTTTTATTTTATAATTATGATACCCTTTACATGACTATCCATTTGTCAAAATGCATTGAATTATACACTTAAAATTGGTAAATTTTACCACCTGTAAATATGCCTTGTGTAATTTATATTTGTAATTTGGTTTTATGTTTATATGTGTAATTTATTATACAAATATATATGTAAAATGTTATACATATATATGTATATAAATTTCAAACAGGCACTAGCTGGTAAATCTTGAACTAAAATTTCCATTGCATGACTGCCTTGCAGTAAACCCAGGAGCCTGAACCCCTCAGCCGTTCAACCTTCCCAGCAGAGAGATTTCCTGCTGGCAGCCACTGCAAGCTGATAATACCCCATGTCCAGTGGGAAGGAAGTTCAGAAGTGAATTTTTTCAGGCAAATGCTTCTGTAGCAGTTCAAACAAGAAGCTGATTGCTGGGGTTACCTTGGCTCCCTGCCTCCTCTCCTGAATCTTCAGAGGTCATACTGTGTACTTGGTGGAAACAATCATCTGGAAAATTGCCTGGAGCCAGATTAAATACAACATCCCTGTTTTTAACTTATATTTCACATGACATACTTGTCTTTATCTTCATATCTTGTTGCACTTTGAAGACCATACCTGTCTCTACACTCAGCTCTGAAAAAAGATAGGGGAAAAAAGATAGGGACAAAAATACAAAATAATTATAGCTGCCACCTGGCTCAAAAATTTCAGTAAGACTAACTACATTAGCCTCATCTATCTGTCCTTCCAATTTTAGGTCATTTATCCCCTATTCATTTTCTTGAGTAAAGGTATTTCTCTTCCTTCTATGGCCACATAGCCCCTTCACTTTCTGCCCAAGACCTCCTCTCTGGGGGAGATCCAGAGGCTTCTGACCCAATAGCTCAACTGGAAAGAGAACACAAGCCACATAAATGTAGCCCAGCTTTGGAAATAATCAGATCAGTCATGCAAATTAATAGTACATAAGGTCATATCCCAAAAGATTATAGGGCAGTCTTGTACAATAAAAGCTGCCAAAAAGAATTGATTTTAAAGAGAAAGGAAAACTAAAGAGCCAACCTGACTCTAGACTCTTTTAAAAGTTATTTATATTATCTGCCATTAGGAATGTGATCTCCCAGACACTGGTGTTTGAGTGGAACTTTACAGCAAGATGTGGGCTACTCTGTTCCCTTTTACCAGGTTTTCCTTTTAATTAGAAAGTAAATAAAACAAGACACGACCTTTTTTTCAAGGCACATTCTAATCATTTATTAAAAAGGGAGAAGTAAAGCAGTTCAGGAGCCAATCTTACAGACTAGGACTTACATCAAGGGAACATAGATCAGTTTGGGATGATAAAGCCATACAAAAGCCCAGAAGCGCACATCCCGGCGAGGTTCTCAACTACTGCACTGACTTACTAGATGTAGGTGGCTTTTCTAGGCTTAAACAAAGACAAAAATTATGAAGAACCATTGATATGACATAATACAAGTCTCACATATGCGCCAAGGCCCTTAATGCATCTCCAGAAACTTGGTATCACTTTCTCACTGCCATCTGATTTGTCTTAGAGTCTTAGAGTCATACATAGCAATTCATGGTGAGATAAGAGCAAATGAATTTTTTTTATGTCTGTTCCATAGAAAACTAGTTAATTATGTTTTTAGACAAACAATAGAAAGAGAGTTAAGGGGAGTTGGTTGGTAAGTCTGATTCTAATCTTCCGAGCTACCTTTGGAATGAAGTTATAAGGTAGAGTGTCCTGTGGACTCTTTCAAAGGTGGAAATGAAAGAAAAGAAAAATCCGATGCCTCATCTGCAGATCCTTCTGAGATGTATCTGCAGTGCACAACTTAATGAATAAAAGGGCCTTTCTCCTGACAGCTCAGAGCACTTTCCAGACATAATGTAAGCATGCCAAATTTACTTATGTGCTACATATAAAGCATCATTCCAGGGGCTGGTGAGAAAAAACAAGTTGGAGATTTGGTCCCTCGAGGAACTCCGGGTATTAATCTGCCTAATTAAACCCTAGATTCCTTCCAGCATGGAAGAAGTTGCAGGGCTTTGCAACTGAAGAGCTGTTGTTAATCAATCTCTCCCGTGCAAAGAATGCTCAGAAGCTATACTTAGCTCTCTTTAAATTCCTTAATTTCCAGATGTCACGTTACTGTAGGCTTCTTTAAACCCACAGTATCCCTAAGACCTCTGATAATTCCACCCTGGAAAGACCTTATTTTATGTGGAAAATGCATCCCAAGAGGCAGATGACTCCCATGTGAACTCATCAAATCAGCGCAAACATCCTCAGTCTCTAGCACGGTCGCACCATACCTGAATATTGCTATGAAACAAACACTTTTAGATTTCCCTGCAGATACCTAAATACATTGACAAGACTATTTTTATCAACAAACATTTTACCTCTCTTTCAGCCCACCACCTAAACAGCTTACTGAGGTCGCTGCCGGAAGATAACATCATAGTTCAGAAGGTAACCATCATTATAGACAAAAAGTTTCTGGTCAAAAGGGTGATAGTTAATGCTCTGCACTTTTTCCTGCATCTTATGCATTATAATGTTTAGCTTGCCCTCTTTCCCTGTGCTTGTGTCATAGTAGTAAAATATCTCTTCTGTTCTGGTGTTCAGAATACGGGTGGCATACAGAACCCCACATACCATGAAGGCATTAGAAACAGATGGCTTATACTGCGTGGTATGCCAAGTGTTTATCACCTCCAGTGTGGTGTCATTGAGTTTACTAATCACCATGTTACCAGAGCTGGCTTCGGTTGCATAAATCACCCACAGCCCATTCTCATCCACAGCAAAGTCAAAATCTTGCCAAGCAACATCAGCATATGAGAAACGGTTATTAAAGGCAGCATCGGGGAGAGTTCTGGTTAACACCACCTTGTTGGTGGTCAGGTCGATTTTGACAATGTCACGGGTGTTCTGCCAGTTGACATACATGCTATTGTTGTAAACCGCCGTACCACCACCTTGGCCATAAGTGATCCGATTTTCTCGAGGTTTTGTGTACAACAGCAAGTCATCCAGAGTGTTGTAGAGTCTGTAATATTCCAATATTCTCCCATCTGTATTCAGGGGCGCTACCCAATACAGCCCATTGTCTGGATGTTCAGGAGAGTAATCCCGGCCCCACGCACCATACTTATAAGAAAATCCTCTCCAGTTGAGCTGCACCACATTCGGTTTGCTGATGTTTACCACACCTCCGTTACCACAGCTCCCTATGGGAATAAGAAAATAAAAGGGCTTTCTTAGAGAAAACAAATGACGGGGTACACATAGTTTAATATCTTAAGAACCAAAGGAATTCATAAATATTTTGTTCCTGTAGAACAAATGACAGCAGTGGTTCTGACGCGGAAGAGCCAAAACCTCTACTGTCAACTCTACAGAGAACGGCCTCTGCCTCCATGGATGGGCCTTCAATCTGGAAAATGGGGATAATGAAACTGCCAAGAACCGTATGCAGAAAGTTTGAAGGCCCAGAGAGAGGAAAGGGGCCTTGGTAGACTCAATATATTTTCTGCTATCAGAAAGCATTTTGCAAACACTACCTTATTTCGTTTTTCTTACAGAGAAATCAAGAAAGCAAGATAATTCCAGAATCCTGCCCTATTTCCATAAGTCCTACTATTCACCAAGGTTAGGCCCCAGGAGAATTGTGGTGAAGAAGATTGTCCAGAGGAAGTCTTCACGTCCTAACTCATTCTACCCTTTCCCAGGACCCCAAGTGCACATCCAGTCCAGGTACCAACTTTGCTGGCAGCTATTCTCAGCAGAGGAAGTTTAAATACAGTATTTTATAGATAGAGAAAGATGGCCCTATCATGGTGGTGATGTTTGAGCAGCATTGCCCAGGGCACAGCTCATCACATAAATCACACAGCGACCATCCTGCTGCAGAGTTACAAGGTGAGGCCCACTGTTCATAACCCGTATGCGGCAGGGCCATAGCATGACAGGCAAGTATTTCATCCTTCCCATTCTGACACTGTCATTGTCACAATGTGTATAATCAAGTGTGACCAGATCCACTGTTCCACTGACTCTCTATTCCCTGAAACTCATTGGGGAAATGACTCAGGCCGGGCAATGGGCCCTTCACATTGCACTACCTCTGAAATGCCTGCCAACTCAAAGCGTTTATGAGCTATAAAAAAAAATAAAATTCTGCCAGTATTTTCATAATAACTATCCAAAGAGTGAACACATATTTTTCTGGGATTTTAATAAATACTATTTTAAAAACTGGTGAAATAGTCTATTGAATGACAAAGAAAATCCAACTTCCAGTACATGTGGGGTCATTTTCCCCCATGCTTCTTAGAGCAGAGCAGGTGAGACGAGGAAGGAGCTCCACCTGAATTGTTAGATTTGGCATCAAATGCTTGGTGGGAATCAAGGAGCCATGGAGGACACACAAGGTGAGCTGGAGCCAAAAGCAGAGCTCCAAAGGATTGCCTGAGATTTGCACTATGTGGGCTAAGGGGTGGGAAGGGCAGATCCTTAGTCTCTGAGTCTCCGTTGTGTCCATCAGGGAACGACCTATTCTTTTTCTTGCTAAACATTTCCTCTCTCCACCCTCCTCACTCAAGGACTGCTCGAAGGTGAAACCATTACTAGAAATTCTGTTTTTATTTTTCCAATCTGCTAGGGCTTTTCGGTCCCAGAATTAAATACGCGCTCCTTAAATGCTCTCATAAATCGGCAGTTGGTGAGAAAGCCAGCCAACCATACAACAGGTAGAGAAATGAAACCACTCTGTACCCAACCTCAAATAATTTTGCATATCATTAAGCAGAACACAGTCGCGGGTTTATTTTAATAATGCATGTGCCATTTCATAAATAAAAAAGCAACGTGTGTGCAGCCAGGAGACTGCTCTCCACTGAAGAAATAATAAATAAAATTATAAATTATTATTTCTTCTACTAAAAGTGATCTCTCAGATGAATGCTTGTTTGCTTTTGTTTATGAAACAATGCATGAATTATTAAAATAAAGTTAGCAGTGTGTTCAGTTTAATGATAACAAAAACTGTTCCAGTTTCCATATGCTACAAACCGGATCTTCCAGCTCAAATATCTTTCGGAAAACGTATTTATTCAACTACACGTCACTCTGAGGAAAGTCACTTTTCCCTTCCCTTCTGATTGGAAGACTTAGGGATTGTTTGCTTGAGTCTTGCGTTCCTAGACAGAAAATAGCCAAACAACAGCAAAAAAAAAACTAAGGAAAATATATGATGCATATAACTTAGTCAAGCATTTCCATGAGGTTAAAAATAAACATCTGCCTTTAGATGTAAGAATCTTTAAATATGAAGGAACTAAAATAAACTTCTCAAAACTTACTATCACTACTACTATTACTATTAGGCTAATAGTACTATTACTATTATTATTACTACTAATAATAATAATGGCTCATCATTTCATAAATTGGCCAGAAAATTAAAACTGTACCCAGTATAAATATTGAAATTGTATGACACCAATCCATCACCTCCCAACCACTCCAAAACACACTTCTGTTTGTGATCCTCCCTTTATCCTCTATCCCCTTTGGGCCATTTTAGGGGCCCTGTCTATGGTTGAAAGGAAGCAAAAATGTGACAAGAACTCAGCATCAGTGCCAGTACTACAGATGTGGCCACAACAGTGGCAGATCAGAGGAAAGGTTGGGGCAGATTTCCCTGACTCTTGACAGCAAAGTAAAACCTGACAGCCAGCCCAGGACCCACCGATCCTTAGGGTCCCCACCCCCACCCCACGTTCACTAGTTTCTCCCTACCCTCCCTTCTCTCATGCCCCTACCCCAGCCCCTTCCTTCATTCAAGGTCTTAGGGACACTTCATTCCCTTCCTACCAGGTCCCCATCCCAGAACCTGGACAACAATCCATTCCCCCGCCATGATCCAAGACTTGAGGAAGACCAGTGAATCATTTTGCATTTTCTGGTGGAACAGGACATAGCACAGAACCGTCACAAGCAAGAATACCCTTTTACTACTCCACAGGCAAAGAAGCAAAAATACTTCTGTGTTAATCAGGTGGGAGAGTTGCTGGAACTTCCTCCTAACTCCAGAAATCACAAGTGCACCTCTCTGGAATGGAACCTGGTTTGGGGAAATTATCACCACACGGATTCTGATTCAAATCCTGACTCCAATACTTAACTACGTATCCCTCAGCAAGTTACTTAATCTTCTAAGCCTCAGTTTCTTCACGTTAAAAGAAAAACAGTAATCCCTGCTCTGCAGGAAGGATATGGAGAAGACATGGAAGTCTGTAAATGGTCACTGTCGTCATTGTAATCACATCGAGTTACAACTGGAGGATCACATGACTGTCTCCTTTCCTGGATAGTGGTTTCCAGAGGTTTCTTTACCCATTCTGGTAACCCCAGTACCCAAAAAAGGGCCGCCACCCAATGGTACCAAATGATGTTTGTGGAATAAAGAAACGAAAGATTAATTAAATAACCTAACTCCAGCTTAACCTTATTTATAAAGCACTAGTCCTCCACCCTGCTACATATTTGGTTTATTCAAAAGCCTGGTTTCTGCTCTGCAGAACATAATACAAGGAACCCTCTACACAAATGGAGCCTTGGTTGGCAATCTCTTCATCACCCAGTTCATTAGATAGTGCCGTGGTATTCTGCAAATACTCAAGGAAGCCATCATAGTGAGACTTTAAAATATTCTGCCTTGGCTTTTTAAACATATCATGATTAGTAGCATTTTTTAAAAGCCAATAATTATGTGCCTGCAGAGGAAAATTAATCCTGGATCTATTAATGCACTCTCTCACCTGGGCAACTGAACTTGTTTGAGCCAAGAGGAGAATATGATTGACTAGTAAGAATTAGGCAATTAAAATGATCATAATTATAAAATGATTAAGACTAAATTGACTGTGAAGCATTGGATATATTCTACTCAACGCCCTGGTCCTCTCTAAGCCCGGGATTTTAGCACTTCCCTCCACGTCTTTCACACCCCATTCAGTCACCAGATACAGACTGAGCACCTACTGTGTACCAGCACAGAGCCTCACATTCCCAAGCAAAATAATGATCAACCGCTAAGCATTCCCATCACATTTGAGTCGATACGCAGTTAGCTTTAGAGGAAAAACAGAGAAAGACTGAAGTTTTGAGGGGAACAAAAAAGGTAATGAGTAGAAGGCCAATTATTTTATATTAGAAAGTTCTATCAAATGAAGCAGCAAAAAGCAAATATAAAGCATCTTTTATTTAAACCTGAAATACCTGTTCTTATTCTAAGTTCAAGCTGACCACAGGCTGAGCAAACTGTGGCTACAAGCGAGGGGGCCCAGAAAGAACCAAATTACTTCAGAGCTGAGACTCATATGTTCGTCTTTTTTTGTTCTGGGCAACTCTGCAGTGAAAAAAGCAGACAGGCCGGATTTTAAAGTCCCATAATGGTGAGTAACTTTAATTAAAGTCTCCACAGGCTCACAACTTTGTGGTGCCTGGGGATTTTCCAATTCTGCATTATCAACCAATCCAAACAGAAAGAGAGCAAGTGAAAGAAATTGATTTAAAAACATGACCAAAAGTCAGTTTAATATAAACATCATAAATATAATATGAACAAAGCTGGCAGAGATCCAGGTGGCTTGGCAGGGATTCAGGTACAGCCAAGGTTGTGGGAAAGTGAGGGGAAATCTGGGTCCAATTTGTTTAAACAACACAGCTAGGCTGGGAGGGATCACAAAAGCCTAAGTGTGAGGGCCTTGGGGAAAGTTCTGGAAAAAAAATTTTCAAAAATAATCCACCAGACTCACTCACTTTCCTCCCTAGATACTAAGCAGTGCATTTCCCACTCCACCCCACCCCCGACCCCACAGTCATCTGTGGGTTTCTGCCACCCACCACTGTAGGTCCTGCGCTGGCCCTTGCATGTCAGTTTCAGCCCTGTCACTAACGACCTCGGGAAAAGTAGCATCCTGGCCACCCAAGGCCCTCCTCTGAGACATGCTGGGACTGCTCATACATGGCCCTGAATGTTGATTTAATTACCTGCTCTGAAATGTCCTCATTCTACGGGATACATAGACAATTGTGTCAGACAAATCTCTTCCATGAGGAAGATTTTCTTGGGGTGGGGGTTGTTCAGGTTTTATCAGGAGTTGTCACAGCTTCCTCTCCTGCCTCAGTGAGCCCCCGGGGCCCAGCACATTTCCTGCATCCATCTAGACCACTGATCCCAGGCCAAAGGGAGTCTTAATTACAGAGCACAGACACTATCTTTGCCCTAAACCTCTTCACATGCCGTCCCCAGCCTAGAGGGAGGGAAAGGAGTCCCCGGAGCATGAACAAGAGGCCATATCTGATTGAAGCCTCAAAGAAACCAGCTGCGTGGATAAGGATCCAGAAATGCACATTCTAAAAGGAAACAGGAGTGAGGATTGGAATTAATTAAAATGAAAAGGCTGTATGATTTGATGAAAAGATACAGTTCTCATTCAGACCGAGATGCTCAGGACCTGCAGGAAAAAGGTCCCCATGACCTCAATGTCTCTAAAGGATGGGCTGAACCCCGCGGTTCACCTGGGGGATCTGGCCCTGTTTTGTTCACAGCAAGGTTTTCACTTTAATTATCATCATTACTAATAATATCTATTGCCAGTGTGTGAGTGCCGAACATTCAGCTCTGGGCATCCAAGAATTAGTTCCTATGGCAACTCTGCAAAGCAGGAACTATTATTCTCCCATTTCACAAATGAAACAATTAAGGATCTTTTTCCTTCAGCTGACTAGCCAGGAAAGCTTTGGGATGGTAAAGCTATGTGTGCCCTTCAATCCTGCAAACCACCCATTCCTGGGTATGCTTAGAGATCACCACCTCCATGCTATACTTAACCCTCAAGAAGGGACTCACTGGAAAGGGAGATGCCAAGCCCTACCCTCCAAAAGCTCCCCGTCCTAGAAGGATGGCAAGATACACCCACAAAGACCACGATAAGTAAGGGCCATTCCTTCCATCCTTACTGAATCCCAGGGAAGAGCAAAGGAAAGCTTAAAAAGGAAGAAAGAAAGAGAGAAGGGGAGAGTATTCACAGCATAAAGCCACTCCTCAGATAAGTGAGCCAATCGGCCCTTATAATCCACAGGAAGGAGGATGCCACCATGGATTCCAGAGCCTTTCCCCCAGGGCCTCCTTCACCATGGAGATTTTTTTCCTGCTGGTACATGCAAAGGGAATACACAGTAACTTGTAGGTTTTGTTTAAATCAACTCATCCTCTGTGTTCCTCTGTAAGCCCCAGAATAACACAGTATGCAGGACTACATGGCTGAGAGGGGATTTCAGTGTGGAGGTGTCCACTCCGATCGTTAAGAATCCCATCTTGCTTGCTTCACTACTGCAATCCCAAATCCCTTCCTCACCTTACTCACGGCTCCTTAAGGGGCCTGGCTCAAATGGTAAAAACACAGCACGCTTACCCAGAGGGGGCGGAAGGGTGTTGGCAGGTGGGCTTTCATGGTTGGAGTCCTCACACTCCTTCAGCTTCTTCTTCAGAGCCACTATCTCTCGGCGAATGGCAAGGACATTGTTTTTGTCTAGTGTCTCGAGGTTCTCTACCAGGAGAGTCATATTCCTTATCTAAGGAAATAAAAATTCAGAGTGACTTTATAATAATGTGCAATTTCTTTCATAAACATTCCAGGGCTGAATTTGTCGTTTAGTGAAACGTAGCTAGAGAATACACCAGAGATTCTTCTGAATGGTTTCATTTGGAAGAATACATTTTACGGTTTAGCTTGAACGCCTGTCAGATCTCAGGCAGATGTGTGTGACAAGAAGAAAATGGCAAAGATTTTAACAGCTTTAATAATAGAGCACGGGCTCATTCTAAGCATCCACAAATGTCCATTAAAGTTCATTTCTAATAACCTTCTCCTCTAAACTCGTGTTTACTCGTGTTGTGGTATAATTAAGTTTCTAATGAATGGTGAGAGCCAGAGAAAACTTAAATTCCAAAATATGTAACCAGAATTCTCAATTAGCCCATGTCATGACTGTGCTAGTAAATTCCTGTTTATATGAATTACCCAACCATAACATTAATGTGATGGTCTTTATCCAGAGATCTTAAAAGGCTTCACTAAAACATACTCACAAGAAATCTCTTAAAGGGGGGTTGCCAGTATGTGGAGAAGCATTTCAAGAGGGATAAAGGATTAGATGATGATTCAAAAGAAGAAACAGAAAAAAGTGGAGAGGGGAGAAAAACAGACCTTTTGCAATTAGGTAAATTGTGGATTGCTAGTCCCATGAGGATAAATTCAGAGCAGATAAGTCCCATGAGGATAAATTCAGAGCAGATAAGTCCCATGAGGATAAATTCAGAGCAGATACCTGATATAGCTTGGCCATGGACACTTCAAGTTCATGTCACCTCATCTCCTCCTTTCTTTTCTATTTTTTTTTTGAGGGGGGGCCAGGGCTGGGTTTGAACCCACCACCTTGGGCATATGGGGCCAGCGCCCTACTCCTTTAAGCCACAGGTGCTGCCCTCCATCTCCTCCTTTCTAGAGAAGTTTAAAGTCCATTTGGTTCTGGGACAGGATTCTGACTGTTAGCTGACACCTGCTTCTAAGTAATTTACTATTCAAAGACATGCATCCATCCAAAACAGAATATGGAAAGTGTCATGTGGCCACAAGAGAATACAGAATTAGAAGTTGGAAGACAGAGAATCACATCCCAGTCCTAGCACTTGCTTAAGGTCACTATAGAGAACTTATTATTAATTTACTAAGAAGTGAGTTCCCTCCTTACCTCCTCTTCCAGCTGGTTAACAATATCTGAGCTTCCAACAAAATTCTTCTTCAGTTGAATGACCAGTTCCCCCATCTCCTTCACTTCTATCTTAATCAGCTCAAAGTCCAGGACAGTGTAAGAAAAGAGACCCTTCTCCATGATCTCGATTCGGACAGTTAGGTTTGAGAATTTCTTCTCGAACACACCAAGTAATTGGACATATTCCTTCACCTGAAAGGGAATCAAAAAGTTCAAGTCAATTCCCAGAGTAATAATCACCTTGCTTTACTCCAGCCCTTGAGGACTATTTGATTCCTGACAATCTTTGGGTTTTTTGGTAAAGAACGGGATCAAAAATATATTTAACTAGATTTTTAAAATCTATCCAAATACAAGCTAAAAAGAACTTATTACTATGCTTGGAGGGAGGTGGATTTTGCACTTACCTAGACTAAAAATAATATTTTTTCAGAATCATTATGTGCCAGTATATTTTTTAATTTCCATTTTAATGTTTGAAGACATCCACTACCCAAACTAAACTGGTTTGAATCAGAGTTTCTTGCTGTCCCTCCTCCCTTCAATGTACATACTCTATATCTGGGTTTCTCATCCCTAGCAATTGGCATGTGGGGCTGGGTTGTTATTTCTTGTGGGGGCTGTGCTGTGGGTTGTAGGATATTAACCAGAATCCCTGGCCTCTAGATGAAAGTGACAACCCAAAACATCTCTAAACATTACTAAATGTTCCCTGGGGACAGAATCATCACTGCCACCATCGCTGTCCCTCCATTTAGAACTAGTGCTCTAGATCTAAGCATTTTCTAGAAGAAGGAGAAATGCACTAATTAGGAGTCCTCCTTTGATGGCCATATGCAATGAGTTTTGAGCCCCTCTGCCTTTTACAAAGTGGCATGAAGCCCTAACCCACTACACAGCGTTTGAGTGGATGTGCACTGAGAAGTGCACATTTCATTAAGTGCTCCCACGTTTATTCCAAGAACTGATTATTGCAATCAGACCTTTAAATTACACATTTGTTGCATATATTTGAATGTCTGATCATTAAGTTAAAATACTTCCAAAAATTCCCTTGGTGGCTTAGTGTATAATTGGAATCTCCAAATGGATATTTTAATAAACACAGTTGGTGGTTCTTTCTGTATCTGATCGCTAAAGGAAATGTCATGGCTTTTTCAAGGACCTGCTCATTAAAAGTTGCTGGTTTTACACTCTTTTGAAAAATTTGAATACAAGGGATACTTTCCCCCAAACTACAACTAATGCCAAGTAGCTGATCCCGGTGCTGGGTGAATTCAGAGACAGATGTTGGCCTCTAATCCTTCTAATACCAAAGGTGGACCTAACTTCTGTCATTTTAGCCCTTCCACTTAACCCTACTGTGCAAATTAGAGCAGACTTAGAGGCCACAGCCCTAAAGGGCTAGGGCTTCAGGCAAAGAGGATTTTAATGAAAGTTGAAAATGCAGCCCTTGGCACTGCTAGTATATCTCCTCCAGCAACTGAGGCTCGGTGCCATCAGATGTACCATCACTCGGAGTCTGAGGAGGCTGGTGACATTTGGGTGGATGGGAGGATTAAAACAAATATCCAGTTGCCCCTCAGGATCCCATGGGAACTGGTTCTAGGAACACCCCTCCCTCACCATGGATACCCAAATCCACAGAGGCTCAAGTCCCTTATATAAAAAGGCGTGGTCTTTGCATGTAACCTGAGCTCATCCTCCTGTGAGATCATCTCTAGATCCCTTATGATGTCTAATATAATGTAAATGTTGTGTAAATAGGTGTTATACTGTATTTTGTTATTTGTATCTTTTTATTGTATTTTTTTTTTTTGAGACAGAGTCTCAAGCTGTCACTCTTATAGAGCACTATGGTGTCATAGCTCACAGCAACCTCCAACTCTCCAGCTCAAGCGATCCTCTTCAGTTTTTCTATTTTTAGTAGAGACAGGGTCTCACTTTTGCTCAGGCTCGTCTGGAACTCATGAGCTCAGGCAATTCACCTGGGTTGGCCTCCCAGATTGCTAGGATTACAGGCATGAGCCACTGTGCCCAGCCTTGTTGTGTTATTTTTATTGGGCTTTCTGTGTGAAAATTTTCAGCCTGAGGTTGGTTGAATCCTGTAAGACGCAGAACCCAAGGATATGGAGGGCTGACAATATATAAAACCTAACAAGTCCTCCTCTAAAGTACACATAGATACAAGGTGGCCAGGTTTCAATTTCTAAAATATCAGGCATAGAACTTTGCCTACAATAAAAATAAATAAATAAAGTGCCAATCCATTGCAGAAATGGAAGTCTGAGAACGGAATATGCTTGCTGGCATTTGGCCTTGCCAGCTCTTGGAACAAATGAAACACCCTCAGCTTTCCTGGAACATTTTGGTGGCACCTCGCAGCTGTTGTTCTACAAAAGTAAGTGATTCAACTGTCATCCCTACAAAATAAAATGTGGCTCTCCCAGATTCTTACAGAAAACCAAAGCATAATCTAGAATTTGCAACTTATGGGCATGTGTGGTGTGCTTACCCTGGTTCAGCCTCAAAATGAAGAGTCCCTGAAGATCTCTGTGGGGGGAAATGTTGAGGTTCCTTCAGCTGACATTGAAAGGGAGCTTGGGAAAACCGGAATCGCCCATGGAGTTATAGAAAGCAGGAGAGAATTTGAGGGTGGGCCAGAAAGATATCACAGGGTATGCTTTACTAGTCTTAGCCAATTATTAGTCTAAACCTTTCCCATGGATTAGATGCATGGATCTGTGTCATTGAGTCAGTGAGGACAATTCTGAGAACAAGCCAGCTCTTCCTGGAGGGGTGGTCTCAGCAGGGGCAGCCCTGCTCGCCCGGGACGTGTCTATCACTTAGGGCTCTAGGTGCATCCCTCCTCCCTCCCTCTTGTAAAAAATGCTGTCATTCCCCACAAAAAGGCATTTTAATCAATGGTAGGCCACATATACAACTGTGCTCCCATAAGATTATAAAAACCTTTTTTTACTGTAGCTGTCTATGTTTTAGAGACACACAGATACACAAATACCACTGTGTAATTGTTGCCTGCAATATTCAGTACAGTAGCAAGCTGTACAGGTGAGTAGCCAAGGGGCAGTAGTCTATCCCACAGAGCTGTATGGTACCCACCTAGGTGTGTGTGAGTACACTGTGAACTACGATATTCACATAGCAACAAAATCAGCTAATATGCATTTCTCAGAATGCCTCCCACCCCACCCAACTGTTTAAGTGACGTATGACTGTATTTAGATTTAGAGCAGTAATTCTAAATGGAGCTTGGGGTGGAGGTGATTTTTTTTCCCACATGGAACATTCAGCAATGCTTAAAGACGTTTTTGTTCATCACAGCTTAGGGGTGTGTGGGTGCTGGCTGCATACAGAAGCCAGGACTACTGCTAAACATTCAAGCAAGAACATGGGTCTAGCCCCGAGGGAAGACATTCCAGGATTGACATCTTTACCTTGAAGCTCCCCATTACTTCAAGTTTAAGTGTTAGAAGACTCATCTATGTTTGCTTTTATTTATTATATGAAAAAATCAAATTGATATAAAGAAAGGTAAATTATTTTTTTTTGTTGTTGTTTTTTTTAATTTCAGGTTAATGTGAGGGTACAAACAAATAAGTGACAATGTTTGCATTTGGTAGAGTCCCTCTTATAGTTGTGTCCCACACCCAGGAGGTGTGCCATATACCCTTACATTGTGCCCAGAAAGTGGAAGCACACCACTCTCCCTTCCTTCTCTCCTCTCTCCCCTCCCATTCCCCATCCCCTCCACTTGAATTCACATGAGTTTTTCTCCTCTGTGGGCATGAATTAGATCATCTATTGGCTTCATGTTAGTATTGAGTACATTGGATTTTTGCTTTTCCATTCTTGTGATACTTTCCTAAGAATTCACTTCAACTCCATCCAAGGTTAATACAAAGGATGTAAAGACCCCATCTTTTAATGGCCGAATAGTATTCCATGGTATGCATATACCATCTGTGTTAATCCATTCCTGGGTTGGTGAGCATTTACTCTGTTTCCACATCTTAGTGATTGTAAATAAACGTTTGCTTTTAAACCACCAGCCTAACATTCAAAGCTTCCATTTTATTTCGTTTGTATGCACTCACTATGTAATAGATGAAGAATAAAGTTTCTCTGGGGGTTTGTTTTGCAGTAGTTGTTATTGTTTCTCATAACAAATGCCCTCTTGTAATAAATAAGAATGTAGTGCAGTGGGCTATTAAGCTAAAGAATTAGTCTGTTTCTGCCAGTCCCTCAAAACCTGCGATCACAATTTTGGGCAGATAATTTGAAATAAGTAAATTTACTTTGCAACATGTTATTATTTTCACTATTTCTTTTAAATGTAACATATAAAGTACTTCGGAGCTAGAAAGCCTGGGCTCAAATATAATTTCAGCACTTCATGGGCCAATCACTTCATTTCTCTAAACCTTGGTTTCCAATAAATTAGGAGTGATGATATTGGGCTCATAAGATTATTATAAAGATTAAAGATAATGATCATTAAAGGCCTAGCTAATGGAGACCCAATAGATGACAGAAATTAACAGAGAAACAGTGATTTCAGTGTTTTGCAAGTTGACCTTTTAATTTACTATATGTCACTGCACAAACATTACTCAATCAATGTTGTTTATTTATGGGTGTCCTTAATGTCTCCAAGGCTACTTCAACCTTCTCATGCATGAGGATCTATTAGCAAAAGTGTCATATTAAATAACTTGCCCCAAAGAACAAGCCTTCGGAGAAAGAGGAAATCCTTTGCTGCCTTTCGTGCTGTACCCTTCCTAAGCGTAGTCACAAGAGGATGTATCATAAACAACAGAAAAGTATAAAATGCTTTCAGCATGTTATGCAGAGGCAGCTCCCTATCTTCTGAGGGTACTGGCAGAGAATGAATCAATGCAAAGCAGTCAAAAACCTTTTCTACTGGCCTGCCCTAAATGGGCATTCTCCCAGGCCCCTAGATAAATGATGATTTCCAAGGCAACCGAGGAACAGCTATAATAATTCACCTGGAAATTCAAAAGCCTTCAGTTAAAGAGATAACTTTGGATCTGAAGGCATTACTGACCTATTGCATCTTTGGAGTCTTCCCAGGAAGATGATGACAGGAAAGAGAGCTGGGATGATGCTGAAGACTGAAATTCCCAACATGGCTTAACCAGCTGAGAGAGGGATGACCGTGAGCAAGTCTCTTTACCTTTTCTGAACCTCAGTTTTTCCATCCCTCAAATGGGCAGGAGACTACCCAGCCTATCTGCCTCCCAGGGTTACCTGAGAGGAGACAAGAACTGAAAGCATTCAGAAAAGCACAAAGGGAAGCTGCTACCATTACTGTTGTTGTTACCACCTGCTGCACCAGGTTGATTGTGTGAATCCCAGCTGACAAGTACATTTTTTTCCTCAGGTGTCAATCATAAATTTTTTTAGGACTAGATACTGACACTTTCGGGACTAAAACTTTTCCCCCTTACTCTACATGTCTTCCCTGCCAATTATTAGCAAAGCAGATGCTACCTGCCCCTTCACAGGATCAGAATTAAATGTCCCATATTCACAAGCCTAGCAAGCCACATACTCTCCCTGGAGCAGCATGAGGTTTCAAACTGCCCTTCACACTGCTGCTAGCAAAGTCGACATGCAAATCAGCAGCTTCCACTATTTCAAAGCAAATGACTCTAACTGAAAAGATCTTTACCTAGGATTTTCCTCTACTTGTTATGTTTTTATGCATAACTTCTTATCTGTACTTGATTATGCTGGAATAAGGCTATGAATATTAATGGTTAGAATTTATAATTTAGTGCTGTGCCTTTTCTGCTGATTAATTCAAGGACATTTTATTTCTTAAGAAGCTAGGTTCTTGGAGTAGTCAAACACATTTTCCTGGGCACTCATTTAAACTTAGAATATTTATCTACCAATTCAGGTTGAAAGTAGGGTCTCAGCCTCACCATAATTTTTGTCTTAAAGGATAACTATGCTGAATGTGCAGGTGGCTGAGCTCAAATTTCTCAGGAAAACTTACTTTGAATCTTGTAGTAAAGCCAGAGCTCCTTGCAAATTAATGGAGTTATGCTAAATAATGCATAATGTGATTATAGCCTAGGTTGGACTTCACCTGTGCAGAACATAACAGCATCTTCTAATTGATTTTTAACTTGGCTAAAAAGGTGGAAGGGGTCAAAACTGGAATGCCAAGTCACATTCTTGCTCAGAGAAAGGCAACTTTTAGGATAACTTCCTTGGGCTGGAGAAAAGTGGTAATCAGAGGGTTTATGTCAGAGTTTTTACCAGGGCTGATTGAAATTCCCAAGGAAGCCTTCGATTTGGGTCTAATGTTGGACACCTTTAATGTAATGTTCCTGCTGAGACATAGAGAATTATCAGCAAGGAAGAGATGGGGAGACAGAAGGAATGGAGCAAATTGTAATAATTAAACAAGAGGGAGAGAGGGTAGGAGTTTGAGAAGAAGAAAGTTGGGGGGAGTCGTAGGGGAGGAAGATGGAAAAAAAAAAAGGAGCAGTCATCTAAAGGTGAGAGAAACCCCAAAAGAGTTCAAAATAAAAGAATTAAGAAGGAAAGGAAAAGAGAGCTCAGCAGGTGGACCAGGGATGGGAAAACTGAGGCTCATAAAGATAAAGAAGTCTGTTTGTTTCCCTTGAAGCAAAAGGAATAAGGAACGGAGTAAGAATCGAAGCAAAGTTAAAACAGGAGGGAGGTGGAATAGAACTGAAGAGGGTGGAAGAGAGGAAAGAAAAGAAATCCAAGCTGGAAGGGAAGACCTAGACCAAAAGAAAGAAAAAACAGCAAAACAAAATAAAAATTGCAGGTTGGGGCATGCAGGGAGAGCTCTGAGCTTTTTTCCAACTACAATACTCCAGTGAGTTTTTATCTACGGCATGAGTAATCTTGACCCCATTTTCTTCCTGTGCTCTCGTTTTCCCTCCTATAAAGAACTCCATAGGTGAACTATAAAATAAATGCTAAGATCTCCATAGGATACAAATGTGCCGTCTTCGATATAGGGAAGAACGGTTACTCACAAAAATCCTAAGTTTAAAAAAAAAAAAAAATTCGTGTTTTGTTTGTTCTTATCAAACTATTGCTTCAAAAGAAAAACACTTACTTTAGAAAGCTCTTCTTCAAACTTCTTGGACAGAGCATGAGCCTGGAATTCCAAGGTTTCCACTCTGTCCACGGGAAAGGTAGTGTCTGGCAGGGAAAGGGAGCACTGGCAGGTCCCATCGCCATCCACGGAGCCCGTGAAATTGGAAAATGGCTGTAAATAATAATAAGTTGAACATCAGTAATAGGCTGGAAACTGAGCTTTTTGGCAACTGGAGAGACAGAAATTGGCTTGTCAAAAGAGTACTTAGAGGCAAGCGAGTGGAGTCCAACTCATAATGAATAGAATCACGCAAACAAGCTAAGATCGCCGTGTTTTCACAGGTGTAACCACAGACAGCGTTGAGCCATCTCTCCACCTGCTGGACTAAACCCCCATGTCAGTAGCCTTTACCAAACGGAAGATTCTTCATTCTTGAGGAGTCTTGAAGGAAATTATCACTGCCTTTATGCAAGAGAAGGGAAATAAAGAAGCAATGAGAGTTCAAAGTTTGAATTTCAATCCCAGCCCTCACTAGATGTGAAACCTCCTTCGGTCTGTTCCCTCATCTGTGGAATAGAGATAACCTTCTCCCCAGGGCTGTCCTTAGTAAAGTGAGCCAAGTCCCTGGCACAAGGCAGGCGAGCCCTTTCTCTAAATGTCACTTTCTCTTTCCTTGATTATTACTCATTTTCTTTTCCTTACCTCCCCCCCAACCCCAATCCAATTCCTCCCATTCGGAATGAGATAACCATGAAGGATGTGGGTACAGTGAAAATACACAATGTGAATTCGTATCCTCTCTTCACCCGGGAAACTCTAAAATTAACATCCTTCAAAATCAAACAAACCAGTCATTTATGAGTAACTGAATGGTGTGTCTGTTTCAACGTTTCATGTACATTTTTTTAAATAAAAGTTTTCCAGCTTACCACTTGCAGAAAAGTCATTTTAAAATATCTGATGCTTCTTTAAGATATTCAGGCTCACACTTCAGCATGGCTGCATATTTTTAAATGACAGGCTTGAAAGATCCTATTTTTCTTTTGTCCCCTTTGAACTTCCCCAAGGGGATCCCAGCACGATTAACATTTTTTTATTACTACTATTGCCTTTCGGAGTGACTCTTGGCAGCTGACTGGCTGTGCCTTTTAATGATCTCATCTGAGCACCAACCCAAAGCTCACCTGTGGAACATCAGCCTGAAGGGACTTTTTATGAAACTACTAAAGAGAGAGCAATGGTTTTCAGAGTTTGAAGAGACTCAGGGCCCTGTCTCTCAGAGCTCAGGTCAGCTGGCTGCCACTGAGCTGTGTGCATTCCGTGCTTTTGATGTCCACTCGTTGGGCCTAGACACTTCTATAATCAAGACCTATTTTATTAGTGATCTCTCAGCCAATGAAGTCTTTTGCAACTAACTTGTTTTCTTAATTTAAGGTGAGTGGGGTAAAAAATATATATGCCTTTATTCAAAAGCCTCTTTACGTATGCAGTCAAAATTCTTGACATTGGTCTCAATTTTCTTTCCCAATCACATCCCCACACTTGCAGGAATTGGGGTATATGGAGGTGAGACAAGCAGGTTCATGCTAAACATGGGGGTAGGGGCTAGGGGGTTGATGGGAAAGGGTCTTTTCCAGGGATGAATAAAAACTGGACAATATGCATCAGGAGCCTGTCAGAGAGACCAGCTTCCCTTGAAACCAGCTCTTTTTCTTTCTCCAAAGATAGAAAGCTTCCAGCCCAACCATGTCATGGCTTTTTCAGGGAGAACCAACTTATCATGGACTGTTGAAGAAATACCTTATTATAATAACGATCTAGAAAAAAAATCTTGCATTGCATTTTGACAAGAGGAGGTTAATTAGCTGCACAAGACAAGGTTGGACCATTCTCAGAGTTCTCTAAAAAGCTCTGCCAACTCAAGAAACAGTGGATAACATCAAACAGTCTCTAGACAGTCAACCAGAACCCACTATCTAACAACTTTTAGTTCTGAAGTTCACCTGAAAGACAGGCAAATAATTATGAGCCCTGCTGACAGCCATTCCATCGGTTTCTATTGAATATCTCTGTCTCAATGCTAGGGACTCCTCGGCTTCCACCCTGCTTATCATCAGCCCAGTGTGCTCAGCTGACATCAAAATGGTCCATAAGTTTGATCAGTGTCTCCCATTAGAGGTATTTCTGCTTCTCACATTCAAAGACAATGAAGCTAATGGTGATGAGTCTCTCTCCGCAGTGAATAGTCAAACTCCATGTGAGCATAACATGGGGAATAGGAGGCAGATGAGTGCGTGTCCCCTGGCCTTTGGAAGGATGTGCGATCCCCTCGTGTAGGGCAAACAGGACCCTGCAGACCCCACAGACACCCTTTACAGGCGGTTCTCATGCAGCATGTGCTCAGCTAACGTTCATTATGTCTCTAGTATGCTGAGCTCTGACATTAGGGAGATGATTAAGACCCACTTGCTGCCCAGGAGTCAAGCCCACCATCATTATGAAGGTTCTAGTGGTTTTTTTTCAACCAGCCCAGTAGCCTGATGACAAAAGCATATGAAACTGTGGTTTTGATTATGCCAGGTGCCGTGTACAGTGGAGCATTGAGCCCTTACCTCATCTGGGAACTGAGGACCCTATAGCATTCCCACCTTTGGAGGATGATACCTGAGGTGGGAGCATGCTCTGAGCGCTTGCAGCAGAAGGTGCTACTCACGTTTGTGAGTTAAGGTTACAGTCGTCTCTGATTACCAGCCAAGTCTAAGTGCCGACAAAGATTCAAGCCATAAAATAATGGAACTCAACATTCTCAGAGGACGGAAGATGATACTTGGAATTTGCTCAATGACAGTTATAAAAGGGCTTTCCACCACTTTCCAAAGAGTTCATCAAGCTGACAACCAGCCCCCAAAAATTAGCTTATAGATGAATTGACTCTTACTCCACTATTAAGAATAAAAGTTGGAGTTGTAATACTGACTCACCAGAGAGGGATAAGTAGTGAGGGAAGACATTAAAATCTAAGTACAGTTGAACTACCATTTCTTATCTACTTTTAAATATTTGTCTCTTTATCAATAAGCATTTTGGATTTCTCTATTTCTTGACCTATAATTTATGTTCTATTATTTCAGCTTATAATCTTATCCAAATGCTGGTTTCAGACTGTGATGATGCTTTATAATAAATTATTATTAATCTCACTCAAAAAAAATTGCTAACCAATTCTGTTCATCCCCAGAAATCCAGAAATCATTTAGTATCCTGGAATAAAATTATGCATCTGATTTCTGGCTACAAAGATTTGTTGTGCATATTAATGATTCCCAAACCTTTCTTCTTTAAAAATAAGCAATTTTCATCTATACTCCCTGGAAATATAGAAGTCTGAATATAGAGAGATGGTGATGAAAATGGGTATCTAATTCTCAGCTACATAACTTGCTAGTGACTTTAACCCAGTGACTTTACCCAGCTAAGCCTCAGTTTTCACATCTCTAAAATGGGACTGTTAATTTTACCTGTGTCTTAGTTAAGGTTAAATAAGATAATATGTGTACTTAAACTAGTCCTGGCATTTATTCAACACACAGTAGATATCATTGCTCTTCTTTCTATTAAAATATTTGTTAATTGCCACATTTTTATTGATGGTGAAAATGAAAACCAACAAAAGCCTTTTCCTCCCCTTCCCCCATTCCCCCTTCCATTCAGACATGCTCATGTAAGCAGCTACCTGACCTAAGAATAAAGATCCTAAAGTGCAGGATTAAGATGTGAAGACTTTGCCACCCCAGGTCACACCTTAGCAAGGATAGCCTAGGAGATTTTACACAGTGGGACTCCTGCAGAAAGACCTACAGGTGAAGCAAGTAACTGCTTCTTGCCCCCCACACTCTCACCGCTGCCAAGCCTATTCCCACTGTTTTAAAGGAGGTCCAAGGAAGACATCCCCCAGGGACTGGGCTCACCAGCCTTTCTCTGTATTAGCCTAGCTGGACCAGTCCCTATGCAGTACATGACTCTTTGATTTTGTTTGTGTGTTGCTGCTGTTGTTTAGAGCTGAAAATAGCCCTGAAGATTCCCTGTAAAGAACATTAAAAATAGTTAACACTCCCCTGGGGAAATGTTCACTTCCCTAAAAACCAATAAGTCCTCTCCTTATTTCTGACACCCATCTCCTTTACAAACTAGGCCAAGAGATACTGTCAGGGCCCCAGCAGGCGCACCCCAGCTCTCTCTCACTGCCTTGAGGGCCACTGTTCACAGGGTCCCTGCTGGGAAGCAAACCAGTTGGACAAACTGTCCCAGAGCTGCTAGTAGCAGAGCCCCTTCCCTGATTCCCTATCCCCGGCTGCAGATTAGAATCACCTGGGGAGAGGTTTTTAAAAATATCTAATTTTTACACAAAGAAATGATAAACGCCTGAGAAGATAGATACCCCAGTTATTCTGATTTGATTATTATTACACATGGTAAGCCTGTATCAAAACATCACCTATCCCCCGTACAAATGTACAACTATTACATACTCATAATAATTCAAAGTTTTAAAAATTATTTAGGTCTGACTTTGAAGAAATAGAGAGCCCAGGCATCTGTACTTTTAGAGTACCCCTCACTGTCCTTTCTAACGTGCAGCCAGGTTTGAGAACCTCTTTAAAACATAGATTCTTTCCCCAAAGTCCCCCAGCTGGAGCAATGAGATGTCGTTTCTCCTACTAACAATTTAATTATTTTACTCAGGTTTTAATTCATTTCCATGGCACCTATGATCAACAAAAGGAGTCGTAAATCTTATAGAGTGCCCAGACCTAGCTGTCCATGAAATTATAGGCAGGTCCCCCAAAAATGAGAGGAAAGGAATGAACACAGCTCACTCGGACCCTGGGGCCTCCTCACCTTGGACAGGGGCGCTTTGCTGCCCAAAGGGCTGGAGTCAAAGTTGGAGCTGAAGTCCAGGAAGGAACTGGAGCTAGAGGTGGGGACCAGGGCTTCCAAATCCCTTGAATCCTCTGACTCCCCTGCAGCCTGGCCAAAGAGAAGCAGAAGGAGCAGGAGAAAGGGGTGGCCTGGCCTCATCTTGTCCTCTTGGCAGGAGCCACTGGCTCTGCACCGAGCCCAGGGGCTTCTTATAGTGCCTGGTGGGGATTTCACCATGGCCAGCATGTCGGGAAAGAGGAAGTGGCCAGGGAACATTTGACTCACCCAGGAGGTCGGGGCTCCCGGGAACCTGAGTCACTGTCCACACCTTGTCACTTGTCCACAGCTTTGAGAGCTGTCCCTGGATCCAGGTAGCTCCTGTCAAATATTAACTCAAATGGGTTTTTTAAAGGCCAGTGTCTGGTTTCCAACTTGGTAGGGGAATCAGAGTCATTTTCATGGATGACAGAGTTTGGAGGCACCAGAGAAGCCACAGACTTCAGTCCTTCGCCTAGAATCTGGCTCTAGTTGTTCTCTCTCATTTTGCCGAATGCTACTTTCCAGACAAAGTCAAGAAACTCTCCTTAGAGGCTGAGAGTGTCCCTGGGGAGTGTCTGCAGTTTCCCTTTTCAATTCCTAGTGCCTCTGACCTGGGCCTTGCTGTGTCTGCTTATAGAGAAAGTTCTGTCAGCAACCCCACTCTGAAGGAAAGACCTGCCAAAAAGGCAGGGCTCTGCGCTGTCCAGCACTACTGTCCATTTGATGTAGGGGGAGGAAAAAGCCAGACAAACAGGCCCTCAGATGACCCAGCAGCCACACT